TTCTCCAGACCTGGCGAGAACTCGGGAGCAAGGTCAAAAAAAGAACGCGGACACATTCACATGGACTCCATGCAATGCAAGGGCCAGGCTTCCCCCTCAAAAACAAGTCCAAGATGGAGATGGTTTCTGTGAGGTTCCCTGACATCATTCTCTTTTCGGGCGCAAGGGGATGACACCAACCCTTTGGAAGTTGGTTTCTCAGGCGATGCAAGACCAAGCATATTTTTCCCGGTTGTTGTCCGTTTTCCTGGGTCTAGGTTGTCAACCACTCAATCCATTGCACTGAGGCTGCCGCATTCACAAAGATCCATCTCTTCTTCAGTAATTCCTCCTCGAGCATAGCAAGTCACGAAGCTGATCCATGAGAATTCTTCGCCCAAGGAAAAGAAGCTGTTCCTGTTCTGTCAAAGCATATGGGTTGGTCCGAAAATGGGTTGGACGCCTTTGGGCTCGAAAAGCTTTCACCTTCAAAGATAACCGAAAGAAACGGAGCATGCTTTGGGCCCTCTGGCTCTTGGAAACACACCTCCATGCCATAAAACATGGTGCTCAAGCCAGTGTCCAGCAGCCCATTTGGGAACCCTATGAGCCCCTGAGCTACGCAAGCCATACATCGTATCCCAAGAATCCATGCAGGACTGCATAGGCCATGCTTGGTTTCTGACAGTCTATGTTTGCGAACGCCACTAACTCACGATTGGTGAGTTCACTATAAATTCAGCATTTCCTATCCCAAGAGTTCATGTTGGCTGCACAGCATGCAAGATCATGAAAGCCTGGATGGTAGACCACCGCTCCAGTGCAGTGGCCGAAGAAAGAAATGGTTTCGGGCGGTTTTTCTGTGTGTTGGTTGCTTGGGTCAGTAGCAAGCTGTGTGTGCTTACCCTTTGGCTGGCGGGTATGCGGGCCGCAGCAAAGCAGTGGAAACGGTGTAGGCAGGACGAAGCAGTCGCGCGGGTGTGCTTATTATTTGACTGCCAGGTATGCTGTTGGCAGTCGAGTGGGTGTGCTTACCTCTTGGCTGGCAGGTACGCGGTCGGCACGCGGTCGGCAGCAAAGCAGTCGAGCAGGTGTGGGGGGGGCAGGGAGTTTGGTATCGGCATGGGTGTCTCTCTCGTTCCGATCGGGGGTAGGTGAATGGGTGTCTCCTTTTCGGGGACCCGCAAACAGGGTGGTGTCCCTTTGGGTTTCTTCTGTAAAACCACAAAAGGGGTAGCCTGAAAAAACCCAAATAATTAACTCGGTACCTTTTAGGGCGTGAAGGGCTCCAACGAGTCGCCCTGAGTGGCCGGCCACTTCCGCCGGGTCCACTAAGCTGGACCGGCGAGTGTCGTTCTGGTTGGGCGACTGCGCCAACCTGCCGGGCTCAGCCCCCCTTCAGCTTCCTCTGAGTTTCTAGGTCCTCCAGTAGAGAGGTTAGAATAAGGGAACCCTTTTTCTGTAGTCTATTTTAGTGGGGGAACCCTCCCCCAAAAAAGGGGTACTGGGGACCTAGGTTTGTTTGGATTGGTTCGGGATGTGAACCCCAGCTGCTTTTGAACCCAAATGAAGCTAACTTTTTCGCTCGAGGGCGCGCTCTACTGGCGAAAGATAAGACCGCGCCTAATCGGAAAAAATAAATGCTTCATTGCGGGGGAAAACAAAAACACAAAAACATTGCAATGACTCTTGCAAGGACTCTTGCAAGACCTTGCAAGGGCTCTTACAAGGCATTCTTACAAGGCCTTGGAAGGATCTTACAAGGTTTTACAAGTGCTTAGAAGGCCTGACTCCTTCCTTGCAAGGCCTTGTGAGAGGCCTGGTAAGGCTCCTTGTAAGGATTTGTTGCACTCCTTGTCAGGACTCCTTGGCCTTGTAAGACTCCTTGTAACGCCTTGTCAGGCTCCTTGTAAGGCCTTGTAAGAATCTTTTTTTTATGCAATTGCAGGCTTGTTACGCGCTCTTTTTTGTCATTAGGTGACCCACCCGCCAGGCTCAGCCCCCCTCAGCCCCTGAGCCCCCGTCCCCATACCTCAAAGCGGGACTTCCACCTAGACAAACGCAGCCAACTTTGTGAGTTCCTGAAGGTCTCCAAATGTCGTACTTGCTTTTCGTAAGTTTTGGCCTAACTTCAAAGCCAAGCGGCCTGCAGCTTTTTGAGTAGAAATCGATTTTCAAGGGTCCTCTTGACTCTGGCCAATTGACTACTTCTCGACAGAGCTGTTGGGCGGAATTGGGGGGAAGTGAGCTACAATTAACAAAGGCAAGGACGTGCTGCCAAGACTTCCATGGTACGGGCAGCAATTCAGCTCCGCTGCACCTTCAAACTGCATGCGTCGCGCGTCAAAAAAGACTAAGAAATCGTGTCATATTTTGAGACGTGGGAGATATAAGCGCGCAGAACACGGGTTCTCCGCATGAATGGCTCTTCAGGTGTGCGCACCTCGCTCGCTACGCTTGGCCAAAGGCGGTCTTGGAGCGGGTGCGCGCCCGGGGGCTTATGGGCACGGCAGCGCAATCTCGCAAACATCAAACGGTGAATTCTCTGCGGACGTTTTGGGTGGAAAGATGCACCCAACATGTATTTGCACGTTGTTCATGGGCAAACCAACTAACTAGTAATCAATCCAACTGGCGTGTGTCAGCCAAACATCTAGTCAGCGCACCAGTCAACAAACCAACTAGCTAGCTGGCTAACTAACTGACCTGACCAAGTCGCCAACTAGATAACTACACTAGATAAGTCTCGACCTGGCTAGCCACCCAACCAGCTACCTAGCTAAGTAGCCAACTAGCCAACTTGTTAATTGGCTAAGTGTCTAACTCGCGAACTAGCCTATCAAAGGAGCTATCTAACCAAGAGCTGGCCGGCTAACTAGCTAAGTCGACTAGCTGACTCACTAGGCAACTAAGTTGCAGACCAGCGAACTAGCGAACCGGTCAGCTAGCAAGCTGGCCAAGCCAGAAGGCTAGCGAAGCTAACTATCTCAGCTGGCTACAAACAAGCTCACTAGCCAGCTATGTAAATTAATAGTTAACTAGCTGACCAGCTAACTTGACTTCACACACACACACAAAAACGCCCAGGCGTATGCCCTGCATGCGACTGCTAAGCCATGGAACCACTTCTCAACTTATATAGGTCATTGATTCAGCTCGAGCTTCCGCATTCCGACTTCGCCGGCAGGTGGAATTTGTCACCCTTCGGTTGTCCCATTAGTTACTAAAACGAATGACATGGCTTCACTGAAGTAAGGGTATGGGTCTAGATCTATCACCAGGATATGGAGCACAGGCTGTCCACTGAAGTAAGGGCATGGGTCTAAATTCATCACCAGGACAGTCCATGCTTCCATTTACCAGGGCTCCTTCCATTTCGGGCCATATCTGACCTGCCACTGTCCCTTGAGCCCACCACTGGCGGATTCGCTGCTCCGAGGAGGTGACGGTGTAGTCCTCAAAGGAACCCAGAGCTTCGATCGGATGCGTCCAAACGGGGAAAGCCAAGGGAAACTCGTGGAAATCCCAGTAGACATACGTTGATGTCTTTTTGGTTTGCCGTAAAGACCATTCAAAGAGAGATTCAAAGAGAGATCCATATTTTGTCGGGACACCCGTGAGGAACCTCCTCCAATTCTGTTGAATTTATCCTTCTCTTGGGGGGGTGGCTTGCTTACCAAACACTTCTGTGATACTGCTGGCGCAGGTAGGCAAACGAAAAAGGGAGAACTGCCGCCAGCGTTCTGAAACTGATTCGGCTACCCGGAGCAAAGGGCTGTCTTTTGCAGCTTGGGAGGCGTTCTCTTTCATCTCTCATAAAATCGGGGCTGTCAAAATGAATTAATGTTGACCCCATATTAATCAACCCCGGTTCATCAATATGGGGTGTTCCCTCCAAAAATGATGATTCCCCACTAAACAGCGAGACACCCCCCTTAATCAACTGGGGTTGAATAATATGGGGTCAACATTATGATTAAGTGGAAAGCAGGGCCCCTTGGAAGCACATGTCCTGGATAAGGGCGCGGGCTTCTCTTTCCGGGGTCGCAATCCCAAATATAGTTTGCGGCTTTGCGGTAAACTTTTGACCCACGAAAATTTGGAAAACCGAAACCAGGCTGAAACCATGACCTGCGCTGGGCTGGCTTGGTTGGGAAGTAGCTGTAAGAAAATCTGAAATAAAATGCAGGGCACCTAGTGTGTCGGATCGCTCTCGCTGTGGTTTTCGCAAAATTTAAGTACAAAAGCAGTACACGAAGCACGCTCCCGCAGCTCCGGCCTGAGAATCGCAAGTTTTAAGTAGAAAAGTAGTACGCAAAGTACCTGGACCCACAAGCCGGCAACGGACTGCCGAGTGGCGACCCCAACCAACTTAAAGAAACCGATCCCACTTGAAGATCAGCAAAGAGTGCCGCTTGACTGCAAAGAGTCATAACAAAAGAGAATCAGTCAGATCGAACCCCCCCAGCCCCCTTCTCCAGGTTGCAATAATTGGTTTGCCTGGCTTGGCGATTTGGAAATTTGAGCTGACCGCTTTCCGTCAGTTGGGGGCCAAACCTTATTGCCCTTTATCCTGAGACTCCAACTGTTGGTTTAGCTTGTCCAGTGAGAGATTCGGGCTACTCTGCAGCATTCAGTGCAAAACATGTGGTGATAAGTGATAATTGACAAAGAACCACCAATTGATAAGCCATATTGCGTCTGCCTCCCTATTTGGGCCCCTGATTGCTGTTTGTTGCAGCAACATAAGCAATTTTCCAGAGGGACATCCCTAAACTCCTGACATGCCCGTGTCCCTAAACACTGCAAGCGGACATTCCCAGCTGCGCCGGGGAAAAAAACACGAGATCCTCCGAGCCCGGGTGGGTCATCGGTCCGATCGGTCCGATCGGTCCTCGGGGCCCGGGCGTTATGCACGCCGTACGTCACCAAAGGCTGCTGCACGGCGCTGCCGCCCCGCAGGCCTCGGAAACTCGGTTGCTTTCTGGCCATGGATCAAAATCCGTATTTTAGTAACATCCCAATCCCCACCAAAAAAGAATAAAATGGGTGGTGCACCTACCCCAATATGGTACCATTGGTTTTGACCCTGCCGATAGCTTTTTTTGTTACTTTTAGTGGGTGTATGGAAAACCCATTAGTTGGCAAAAAGTTAAAGTCCTCCTCCAAGCAAAATGCACCAAAGGAAACAAACAACATCCTGAGAGCGGCAGACCAACATGGAGCAACATGGGTTGCCCGTCTTTTTTTTTTGAAGGCGGGGATGAAACAAACAATCACCCAGTACAGTTTGGGTTGGTTTAAAGGGACAACTGTCTGTTTCTTCTTTTTTTTTGGGGGGGGATGAAAAAAATACCCAGTACCCTTTGGGTTCGTTTAAAGGGAAGCCACAAGGAAACCACCTGTTTGATACCATGAGACACACCCACAAATGGCGTTCCAGCTTCCTCAGGCCACAAGGGCGAAAGTGAGTGAAAGTGGCAACCGCAATCGCGGGGTATGCGTAAAACTCAGCACATTGCGTTCTATGCCTTTAATTATTAACAAAGTGTCTTCCCAGGTGAACACAAGTTTAAGAGGTGCCTCCAGTCAGAGATGTTCTAAGGCGAAAACCCTGCAGAACTGGCAGTGGCTCAAAAAACCGGTATTCCAAAATGGGTTGCCCAGTTAAGTGGAAACACTGACCAAAACCTGCGGTTTGCCCCTGTTGTTTGATTTTGAGCCACACCCATTTGGCTGGCCGCCTCTGTTTCTGTAGAACAAAGCCTCGAGGACAATTTCACTTACCGTCGTGTTTTGGTTGAGCACTGGCAACCAAATCGACCTGTCTCTCTGTGGGCTTTCCTCCTGGTTAATTTAGGCACAGGTTTTCATCACGCAGCCCGCTCCATTAGTAATGCGCTTGATTTCCCGGCCAACTTAGGTACATGCATACGGGGGACCCCCAATTGTGGGTTTTCTGTTGGTTTCTTTTTAAAACCGCAAACATCAGCACCGACAACCCCGTATAGTGCGCGTCAGGTCGATCAGTTTGCTGGATCATCCCTGTGGTCTTTGCCTGTACCGGCCAGAGAGTTATCCATTCTTTCAACACGGGCAGTGTGGCAGGGCAAAACCCATGCTGGTGTTTGTTTGTTTGTTTGTTTGTTTGTTTGGTTGGTTGGTTGGTTGGTTGGTTGGCTGGCTGGCTGGTTAGTTGGCTGGTTGGTTGGTTGGTTGGTTGGTTGTTATTTGTTGTTTGTTGACCTGTTTTTGTTGTTGTTTTTGTTTGTGTGTGTGTGTTGTTTGTTTGTGTGTTGTGTGTGTGTGTGTCGGCAACGGACGGTAGTGGCAGTTCAAGCTTCATTTTGAGAGGACATTGAAGCGTGGTGGGGTGGGGTGGGGTGGGGATACCCAAAACGCATGCAGGTTCCTCTGAGGCGGAGACGATCGCCAGCCTGCCAAGTGAAAGACTTCAATGGCAGGTGGACAATGCCTGGGTCACCAAACCCCAAGAAAACAAGCACTTGATGTTGGTCGGGAGCGGTGTTGATCTGTGGAAAGGCGGCTCAGGATTGCAGAGTGAGCGAGAGCCTGTGCCAAAGCCTGCCGTTTGACTGATTTCGGACATCGCGCGGAACACGGAGCCTGTGTGAAGTTTCACAACGTCACGCTGGACACTTCTCGGATCTCATCGCTTTGCTATGGTTGCAATGCTTCAGCCATACGCCTGTTGACCGAGCCAGAGTCTTCTGGAAACAGGCATGGAGTTTGAAGGCATCCACAAAGGTTGAACAGCTGGCGTCTTTTCTCCCATGAGCCATCTGCTATCAAACTGAAACCAGCCACCTTTAACGGAACATCTGCGCACTGCTGACGGACGTTTGCCTTGCTTGCCTTGGTTGCCTGACGATCACGAATTCATGTCCAACGGCCCAGTGGCGAAGAGGGGAGACGGACACGTGTTTGCGTAGTTGGCAGGATGCCATTGCTTGCAACTGGACCAATTTTCAATGCAGGTGCTCGGACTTGCTCTCGGTTTAGATTTTTATCGTTCAGAAGTGAGACACCTTTTTAATGACAGGTCAAAGTAGAGATTATCGCACAGGTGATGGACATGTGGCACTAGGAAGACCCTTTGGCTTTGTCCCCCCCCAAAATTGACCATAGACCATAGCATTGAAACATATGCCAAAGTCAAACTCATTTCACCACGCATCAGGGTGTGTTGTTTCGAGGGCATCCTTTTTCTTCGTTCTTCAGCTGAACAAAAAACAAAAAAACATCACCATTCATTTTATGGCGTCCAAGCTTATCTTGGTTGCTGTTGACCCCGCAGAAAGTGTAAGCTTTTGTGGGAAGGGAAAATCCATGTCCCGAAAAGTCCAAAGATCCGTTACCAAATAGCCATGGGTCAAAAGCCCGTACCGCCAGTGAACATCCCAATTTCCACTAAAATCCCGACTAAAATGGGGGTGCACCTACCCCAAAATGGTACCATTGGTTTTGACCCACAGGCAAACAGCCAAAGGGTTCAATAAGACGAGGCCATCTTAGACCCATCCGCCTCCTTCCGCTGCTTTGCACGGAGGTTGTGATCAAAGGCAACGGCCCGCGACGCGCCGGTGACTCTCCTCAGCAAGGCCTGCAGTGGTTGCGGGGCTTGGCCACACACATGGCCATGGGTCAAAAGCCCGGTTAGCCCCCAGAAAATATCCCAATCCCCACTAAAGAAGACTAAAATGGGTGGTGCACCTACCCCAAGATGGTATCATTGGTTTTGACCCACAGCCGCATCTTACCAATCAAAATGAAGGAATGCCTGGAAAAGTTTGCTTTTCGCTGCCAAGTCCCGCGAGGTCGCCATTATTTGCCCAAATGCAACCTTCCATGTCGTCTTCAGGGATGCCATTGAGGGTGGGGGCGTGCAGGTTGTTGGATTTCCTTCAAAGTAGTCTTCTTGGGCTTGCCACAAGCTGTTCAATGAAGGAGAAAAAGGCTGGCACAAAAACCCGTGCTTTTTTGGGGGTGGGGGGGAAGTGTTTTGGGTGAATTGCGGCTGGCATGCAAGGCTGCAAAAAGGGGTTGGACCAGCTCGGCAAATCCCAGATCGCGAGTTTGAGCTACCTCGGAGGCCCCGAGAAAACCGTCTCAACCTCGGTGACTCTGAGGTGAATGTAATTCATCTCAGATGTTTCAGCAAAAGATGTAGCATGTTCCACACGTCTGCGATTGCTGCATAGTCGAATCAGTGCATCCGCCAGTCAATGCCCAAGCTCAAAAAGGGCCAGCCCAATACATGCTTTGTTTTTTTCGAAAGGGCGAGGCATGCGTCAACAATTTCTGCTGCCTGAAAGAGGACATGGAATATTAATGAGTCCCAAGTTTGGGTGGGGCATGTAGTGGTCCGTATGTCTCCCCCAAATTCGACCAAACACTACTTGGGTGTGTGCTTGTTTTTCCATCGGTATCCCTTGTTGGATGGCTCTTTTTAGGGAAACCAAAAGGAACACCGAAAATCCGCCACTTTGGGGGGCCCGCACAAAAAAGAAAAAACACACACACACACCCAAACCCAATTCCAGAGTTTGACTCAGCGCTCGCTGCCTCGCACTCCGGGTAGTACCTGGTGATCACCGACTCGTTGTCGTAATAGTCAATGTGACCCCACGCCTTCATGGAACGCTAGAAAACGGTTTGGATGAATCTGTGGATCCACCCCTGTAGAATCTTAGAAGAGTACTAGAATACTATTACACAAATGACCAACATTGGCAGCTACAGCTCGAAAATCCCAACTTTCAGTCTAGCTCACAAACCGGGTGTATGAAGCTCACTGTTTTTGCGCGCGCGCGAGAAACACTTTATTTCCCCGATTGGGCTCACTACGGGCCGTAGTGAGCCACTAGATTTCCCCGCAAACTTTTACGTACACGTGTAGTACACAAAGTACACTTTGGAAGCTCCAGCTTGAAAATCAGCTCGCTGGAGTGTTGCAACTGTTCAGCGGCCCTTGAACTCAGAAAACGTGCGGATGTGAGGAAAAGCGTGCAAAAATCAAGTTGTGCAAAGCAATGTCGTTTTGCTACCGTTTTTGTTTAGCTTACAAGTCAGGCCTGCTTGCTGCCCAACAAGCAGTGCTATCTCAGCTGACAAGGCGACTTCCCACGATCGTTAGCATATCTTTCTTTCCTTTTTTTTGCACCAACTCCTGATCGTTTTGCAGTAAAACGTGGCAGTGTTGGATTCCGAAGACTCAACTTAAATTAACGGGGTTTTATACAACCTCATCTTGTTGTGTGAAGTAGGGGTACTAGAAGCAGCCAAATCTGCGTAGCTTCGCAGCACAACCGATTTGGATTAATTAGAGTTATGTGTCAACCTCGATAACTACCTGTGAGGGAAACCAAACTTAGAATGGAATCTGATAACAGTATCTGCTCTTTGGTTGCTCGAGATATGAGCCAATCTGGGCTGACAAGTTCACTCTCCTATCAATCGGTCGGTTTTGTTCGCTGCACAGTGAAAGACGTTAAAACTATCGCGGACGCGGGTTGGCTGTTGCAATTTTGCCATACACACTACGAGGTACTAGTCATCCATTCTAAAAGCTTTGCTGAGGAATATTGCGGAATCGCATTTCCAAGTGGCTAGCATTTTGTGGCGACGAAGCGATTGTACTGAACATCCTTGAATGAAAGTGTAACCGTCGTGTTGCATTGCTTGCATTGCCCATCAGCCCACGTCAAAAGCAGCGCAAACTACAATCCCCAAAGAAGGCAGCAATTCACGTCAGCTAGCTGGTAATGCAGCTTGTTGGCTGGTTGGTTATGGCAAGAAGAAGAAAACACGTGTTTGCAATAGCGTGACGAAACTGTCTCCTTTTTCAACAACACCCCAGGCCCTAGCTCCAAAAGCTAAGTTTCCGACATGCGGGAGCAAGCAAAAACCGTTCTCGTCCAAGGTATGGTCTTGCCCTCGGCCACTTGCGATGTCCACCTGCTGGCCGTCCAACAAACTCGCGGGACAGCGAGCAACATGGCGGGTCCCTTCAACCCGCTTTCTGCAAAAGCCGCGACTTCCGCGACTTCCCGTTTCACCACTTGGGTCAAAAGATCGGTACCCAGAATGGCTTGCCCTTCAACATCGAAAATACTCAAAGTCTGCCTTCCAATTTCTGGTGGATTTAATTTTGACCCATACCCGCTTGCTTCAAGTGGCCGAGATTCGCCTACGGGCTAGTGATAGTACTCGCTCGTCGAAATTTGCCCACCTCAAAGGTCAGATGGACACCAAACACCGACACGCAAGTAAAACACAAAGGTTCAAGAGGAGTGCACCTTCTCCTCCGTTGCATAAAGCGATAAAATGAGTCTTAAGCGTGAGGCTGAATGACAAACCGGTGGGCCAGGTTCGCCTGTAAGAGATTGATGAACCAAGAAACATGGACTCACGATTTTTGTGAGGTACGTGCCAATGAAGCCGAAGCCCATGGTTGATTCAACCGCTCCCAAAGTAGCTTTTGGGATGGCCCTCATGGCGATTCCCATCGATTCATCTGCATAATTTCTACTGGGCGAGTTTGACCAAAACAAGGTTCGACCCTCTCCAACACTGACAACCACAGGACATGTCATCGTAATTCGCACGATGTCTAGGACATGAGCATGGTCAATACGAGCCACTCTTGTGGCCAGAAGCATGGGTGGCGTGTGTTTTGAGGGCACCCCATTTTGACGTTGAAGGGAAACCAAAAGGAACACCATCATGTTGGGAGGTCCAGCCTCAAAAACACGCCCACATAGCGTAAACCAACTTTAACCTTCGACCCATGCCTTTGACGTCCCTCGTCGCAGCTTGCACCCTCTCGCAACTTATCCGCCTCAACCGGCCAAAGCCAGCTGGAATATGACGTGCGACAGGTATCGGTGCGCAAAAATTGGATGTAGGCTGTGTGGAGTAGTTTACACAGAAATGCCAATGTGCTTATAAATACATACAAATATAAATGAGTAAGCAGAAATAAACAAAACAATGAATAAACAAACCGTAAAAAGCATACAGATAAACACAAATAAACAAAACGTGTGTATATTTATATACATGTATATCCGCCGACATTGTTCGGCGTGTCGGATACCTAAGAGAGGATAGAGGATAACCCCCCCCTTAGTCCTTCCCAGGGACACGTCAATTACCCCCCGCACGTACCGCGCGGCGATTAGATGACGTTCCACTAAACGTCGCAAAACAGGGCTCCCAGGCTCGATTCCCCGTGCCGGCTTTTTGCCGGTTTGGGTGTCCTGCTTTCTTTTGCAGAAAATCTGGAAAAACTCTGTGTTTTTTGGACGTTCTCTTTGCGAAAACGCTGGAAAAACAGTGTTTTTTGCGGGAAATACTGGGGAGCAAAGGGGAAATGCAAGGAAGTGCAAGGAAATGAGGGGAGGAAATAGGAAGTCCACATGTCAGGAAAGCAACGGGAAATGAAAGGGAGACAAAGGGGAACTGAAAGGGACATGACAGGGACAGAAATGAAAACGAGGGGAGTGCAGGGGGAATGACAGGGAAACAAAGCGCAATGAAACCAATCGGCACGACGGGAGATGTAGGGAAATGACTCGCAACGAAAGAACGGGACATACATGGAAAATGAAGCGGACATACCGAGAAAATGTCAGGGACATGAAGGGGGAGTTGAAAGGAATGGAAGGGACATGGCCAGGACATCACGGGAAACGTGAAAAGGACATGAAGGGGAAATCAAGGGAAAGCCAGTAATTAGTGAGATGACGGTTCAGGGTCATGAAGGGGCAGTGCCGAGATATCGAGGCAACTCAGGGGGGATGTGACGCTGCAATGCAGAGAGAGAGAGAGAGAGAGAGCGAGAGAGAGAGAGAGAGAGAGAGAGACAGGGAGAGAGCGGGAGAGAGAGAGACACAGAGAGCGAGAAAGAGAGACAGAGCGAGACAGAGACAGAGCCAGAGTCAGAGAAAGAGACAGAGAAAGAGACAGACAGAGAGAGAGAGAGAGAGAGACAGAGAGAAAAAGAAAGAGAGACACAGAAAGACAGAGAGACCAGTAGAGAGGGAAGAATTAGGGTACCCTTTTTCTGTAGAGGGGCGTGGACAGGAAGGAGACAGGCAGACAGAAAGAGACAGAGAAACAGAGAGAGAGAGAGAGAGACGGACAAAGAGAGAGAGAGAGAGAGAGAGAGAGATAGAGAGAGACAGAGAGAGACAGAGAGAGGGAGATTCAGGAGGGAGAGGCTTGGGGGGAATGGGGAGGATGGGGAGCAAAGGGAGGGACAGAGGACGACAGAACACACGAGGGAGACAAGGGAGAGAGGAAGAAGGAGAAAAGGGAGAGGACAATGTCGGCGGACTGAGCCGGAGGCTCTAAAGTGTATATATATATATATGTATATATTATACACACACCATTGTTTGCTTCACCATTCAACCGTCAACACACATCCCGACTGCACTGGTTTGATCGTCCGCACTAAACTTCTCTTCGAGATGAATTCGCAGAAGCGTCAACTGCGCTTACCAGAAGACAGGATGCTGGACTCATCCCCCCACAGCCCTCGCCCGACAAGAAGTCTACGATGCCCTATGAATTGCGAAGTCCTGGATCTGTCACATGGCCATGGGTCATCATCCCGTACCCCCAGTGAACATCAACCAATCCTCACTAAAATAGGTTCTAAAATGATGGGGTGGTGAATTCACCTACCAACCAAAATGGGATCCCATTGGTGTTGACAACAGCTTGAACGGAACATCCAAAATGAATCCCGAGAGCGTCGCCTCCAGGCCCACAGGATCTGTGCCGAAGAACTCCCCGTCCGAGCCCAGCAGGTCGCGGTTGGTGCCCACCAGCCCCGTCCGCACCAAACTTCGCGGGACCTGCGGCAGCGGGCCAAACGGGGCCTGAAGCCGCCCAGCTTGGTACGGGGAAATGGGCGGCTGGGGGCTGTCCAAAAGCAAAAAGGGCACTGAAAACCGGTGAAGAAAACGGCGCCAAGTCTGAGCTTCATTGCTTTAGACAACCGGCTGCCAAGGCAATGAAAATCGTGGCACGCAGAGTTGATGCTCACTGTTCAAGAGAACCCGCTACCAACTGGCTCGTGCTATGTGGCGGCATGCTGAGCTTGCACAAAGACATGATGTTATGTTGATCTTGCACCGCCTTGCCAGTGTTCAGAACTCGGATCGGTCGCTTACAAGTCCTTCCACCTTGCAATTTCAGGGTAACATGCGCAAGCCTGAAATCAAAGCACGTGGCCCCCCCACCCCCAGCCCACCCCCACCCCCCGCACCACCCCTGCCCCCCCCCCCCACGCCAGACCCCACCCCACCAACTCTGTTGACACGGCATGCGCTCTTTTGGAACATTCCCAAGCGTAGATGGCTGGATCGCAAGTCGGTGTGGTTTATTTTGAGGGTACCTTTTTGCTGTTGAAGGGAAACATGGAAAACACCATACGAATGTCAAGTTCTCAGGCATTCATTCCGACGCCTCAGCTGACTTTGACAGGGGCCATGAAGTTACCTTTTTTTGTGGGCCAAGGTGGAGAAGGCCACTAAGTTGCCCCGCGGGGATCTTTCAACAAAAAGACGAGCAGAAAAGAGCTCTGCACGTGTGAGCAGAAAAGAGCTCTGCACGTGTAATCTCGGCGGTCTGAGCCCGAGGCGTTAAAGTAGCTTCTAAACAATTACTTTGGCCCTTTCTGCCCCTCCAACCATTCTGAAACAGTATGCGGGCCTCCAATAAAGTTGAACAATTGCAAGCAGTGAATCCGCAGGTCTGGGAGGAAACCCACCAGTCGGCTTTGGCATCCTCGCGTCAACGGTCCCTCAAAGTCAATGTTCAACAGCTGACCATTTAAACAGGCAGTGCCACACGAGTCGAATACGTCAAAGAAACCAAACGGTGTGATCTCACCCCCAATAGTCATTCTACTTTTCCCGATGGCCTGAAGCTGTCAGGTAATGGCTCAACACTCAGTTTGAACATGTTCAAGCCATGGTGTTGTTTATATATCAATCTAATACGAAACTCATGGCTTCTCCATTGGGGTCCATTGGTTGCAAACACCTGGGATAAGCTGTGCAGCCGCTGGGCTGTAACGCCTTGTCGCTCTGAAAGTAGAGCCGGCCCTTCGTGGCCTGGCGAAACCAGTCACAACCAGCAAAAACTGCCACACTTTTCAGTAACCCCGCAAAAGGCCAAGGACTCTGCCCATTTTTTCCAACCCAGAAATCAGCAGGTCGCCACAAAAAGAGCTGCGTGTTGCTGTCGAGCAACTCTGAAATGTGCAACAGCTCCAGTGAGTGCAGTGAGTCAAGTCAAACCACTAGAGTGGACCAATGGAGAACCGCCAAACTATCAGAGATACGTCTAAAAGCAAAATCCTGAACCGGGTTGTCCCTTTTTGAAAACCACCGAGAAAGGCTTGAAGGGAAGCTCGCAATTCAGTCCAAACCACTTCAAGCCCCGGAACTTCCAGACTGGACTGTGCATAAACTACTTATATGTATATATATATATATATGTATATACATATATATCATAAATATATATATATATATATACATATATATATATATATATACGTACATCATATATATATATATATATGTATGTCGTAGCTGACCAAGAGAACCAATTCCCGAATCAAGGGCGTGGAGATCTGCTTGCATGGCCAATATGACATGCTTCATGGACCTTGCCTTGACCCCAAGCTGACAACACTCGGTTCGACATGGGACAAGCTTCCCAAAACGCTGGGCACTGGGCCCGGTAGAAGCAGGGGGGAGGTCTTCGAAAGGACTGCCGCTGCACTCACCTGCATCAACGTGGATGTTCTAAGAGTTGAAACCTGTGAACAGGTGTTGAAGGATCCAACCCAAGCTCCCCCAAGAACATGGATGCAGAGTGGTCCGAGCAATCGGCTCTGGGATTCCGTGTGATCCCACCCGTGCAACCTGCGGACCTGCGTCACGTGGCGCACATGGCTCAACCGCCGCGCAATGTGGCGAATCATGTTGTTGGTTAATAATTGGAGCATCATAACGTGTCTGGCGTGTCAAGTGCTCAGCCCCACTTGAACCCCGTGGGAATCTTCACAGAGGTATACATAAGAATGCGCAAGAACAAAACTGGACATGAAACAATTCGCATGAACTGGAACAGGCCCTGGTTAGCCCGTTGCCAACGCTTGAGGTTCGACTTGTGGAAGAGCTGACACATCTCCTATCAGGGATGAAACCGAAACTGTGTGAGTCGCGCAATCCACAGACACACAACCTCTCTTGACATGGGCATGAACCAACACGAGCCAAACCTGTTTGTCCGCTTAAAAAAGCCAAACGGGAAAACAGCCAAGTTTATAATGCAAAGGCGCCCGATGAGTTTTGAATGATTCTGATTCCCATGCAAATTCCGAAAAATAAGCCGTGCCCTTGCAGGTGCTTTGGAGTGCACGCTTTTCCTGGTTCGAGCGCAAGCGATGCCTCTTTCCAACCCATCTCGGTAGGATGTTTCTACAAAGAAGCAAAGACACAACCAAACAAACAAACAAACAAACAAGCAATAAAGCAAGCAAACACGCAAAACAAGCGTTCAGACGTAAAGCCCCGCAGCAGTTGACCCACATGTCCGGTGAGCCAAGATTGCAAACACACGGGGCACGGTTCGATCCCATCAAACCACGCTTGGTCTCTTGACGCAACGAGATCTTGCAAACAAATCAAGGACAGCTTTTCCCTCCTGTCCACTAACATGGAACCTGAATGAACCTGAAGTCTCGGGTTCCTGGAAGACCGTTGTCCTTAAAAAGGAACCAACATAGTGGGTTCCATATGGCCCGTGCACAGGAAGCTAACTCTCGTCTTCTTGTGCTGTTCTCCTTCACTGCCTCTAATTCCCCTCCAAAGATCCGTGCCGTGGCCGGTGGAATCACTCGATTCGGGCCAACTGCTGGGAAATCGATTCGGCTGAGGCCTGGTGCCAGCCCAAAGAGAGTTTTGCCGCTTGGCGGCTGCCCGGGGGTGTCTGAACTTCGCAACGCAAGACTTGGCGTGACTATCGTTCCTTTCAAACTCAAACTCGAGTTGTTGTTCTTGTTTTTTGCGTTGAGCGACGTTGAGTGCATCACAAAGGCTAGATTGTGAAAGAGGAACAACCACCGACTGGGCTAGTTTGCTCTGGCAAAAACTGGGTTCCATGACTGGAACGGCTGGCATTTCTTATGGCTCCTTTGGAGCCATAAAGGCCAGTTGTTGAAACGGCATATTGCCAAGATCACTCTACTTGCTCGGGGTCTTGTGCCAAGTATCAGAAAGATTTGGGACCTCAGGCGCATCGAGAGAACCAACCATCTCTGCGATACCGCCGTGAGCAATCCCTAATTGTGACGTGTGCTTACTCGTCACTCCAGGTCTCCCTTAAAATGAGAGAACACGGGGATGCTCAAACCTCGTTTCCCGGACATGCGCGTTTGGTAGGACCTTTGATTTCCAGCCAAAAGCCTCACATCCATCACTCGACTGGGTGGCCGACTAAATCGGCACCTGGCCGGTGAGCAACTCCCACCGTCGACTCATGACTCCTCTTGGCATGCATTTTGTGGGGGTCCTGAATTTGTTGGAAACCCCAGAATTCATCTTGACCTGCAACGAGTTCCTCCAAAATTTAGCTGCCAGAACTGCTGACGCGTCCTCAAGTCAATGAGTATGTTTTGGGGACGAGACACATTGACTGCTGGACTCCGTTGAATCTATCGAACCCACAAAGGTTTATTACGACATGAGCAAATCCAGCGAGGATTCAACCGTCCGGTGATCTGAAAGAGGATCCAGTCATGTGTTAAGCGTGTTTGGGACTCTCTCAAGGCAAATTCAATGGGTGCCGCACAAAATGGCTTCCCAAGACATGCCAAGATTCCGGCGTCAAGGAAATCGCGCCGCTCCATCAACCCCATTTTTTCTGGCGATGAAACGGACAAACAAATTTGCATTTGGTCGCCAAAAGATGGGCTGCCCAAATACGCAACTGACAAACATGATTGGTTCCAACAACCCAAACGGGTGTGGCTCAAAATTAAGCAGGGGGGGTTACGCAGGTTCTGGTCCATGTTTGCACTTACCAGGGTTCCAATTTGGTACCGGTTTTTTGAGCCACAGCCAAATCAGAAATCAATGTCCCCAGACCAAATCGCATTGTTTCGGAGTTGGATCTTTTTGTTTTTCAGTTGAGGTGTCAACCCGGAGAAAGGATTGCCGTCCGATAGGTGTCATAGCCAACGAAAATGCAAACAGCAATTCTATGTACAGGGCGTTAACTATTGGGCAGCATGCAAAAAACGCATATCCCAGTATCCCCCATAGATCCTCCCAGGGACCCATGATTGAAAGGTGTTTGCCAAGCTTGACTCAAATCAGCTGGAACGCCGCAAGCAGGTTAGGCATGGCCAAGTTGCGATTTGGGCGTGTCGCTTTTTAGGCTGGACCCCCCAAACATGGGCTTCGGTTTCCCTGTTGGTTTCCCGTTAAATCAAGCCCAACAAGGGTACCCGCAAAAGCAGACGAGCCACCCATGCTCGCCGTGTTTTTCAAGCTGTTCCTGTACACTTTTGTGCAGCACGCCTTCAGCTTCCATGGCATACAGTTGTGAACATGCAACTATCATCAAGAGTCGCAGTGACTTCTTCCATGGGCATACGTGCAGCGCCATTTGCAAGGAGTAAACTAAACATGGTTCACCTCCAAGTCCCAACAGGACATCATAGAACATCCGCATGGAACTAATTACCTACATTCAACGCCTCAAACACCACTCAGGTCTAAATCCCGACGGCAGCGCTTGCCGTGACTTTCCCCAACACCATGAAGCGTTTAGGTAACCAACAAATCAGGGAATCCTCCGAATTCCATGGTTCCCTTTGAATGTGTGGTCCTCTTTGGCTTGATGTGCACCACAGGAATGTTTCTCACACCTTGTCTAACTGGCAATTGCCCTAGCACCGCAAGCCAACAGGGGTCAAACGATCACGAGCTGTATTTTGCCTGAGTTGTGCCCTGGCAGACATGACTAGCACCTCATTTCGCGCTCCAAGTTGATCCATGACTGACATGGCCGAAGTCACAACAAGGAACCCGTGTTTGGCACAACATCTTTGAGCTACTAGCTACTTCAGTCAAAACCAAAAAGCCACCGACTTTCTCAAAATGCGGCGGGGGGACGCCGAAGTGGCGCCGTGTCATGGACATCCCACCATAGGCTGTTGCTGGCAGCCTGGCGAATCTCCACGCGTTGGACATGTTCGCTCGTTTTCGTGGAGGTCTCTTTGAGCTGCCCTCTAAAACATGTAAAAGGCTCATCTTGTTACGACATGCTCCCAAAGACTCTTCTTTATTTCGTAGAACAGCGCCCGCCGATTCAAGCAGTTAATCACGTCAGACATCATGTCACTTCTACATTGCAAGCTACATTTCTTGTTCCTATATAGATCAACATGGAACTCAAAAGAAGGGTTCTCTCAGAGAAGAATCCTCTAAAAAATGGTGGGTTTTTGGGTTCCATGTAAAACTGTAGGGGATTTGTTCCCAGGTCAACTGCGTGTCATGCTTCCTTTTACTTGCTTCAAACACCGTCGTAGAAACTTGTATGGTGCATGTGTGTGTGTGTGTGGCTGTAATTTGTTTGTGTTGTTCAGAGCGTGAGCCTGACAAGAAATTGCCGACAGCTGCCTGGGTTGGTTGGATTTTGTGTTCCACCTTCCAGGATGTCCCACAGACAGCTAATTCATTTTGAAGCTCCTCTTCAGGTGTCGAACCTGACCTGCCAAAGCGCTCTCGACATAGCAGATAGTAGCTTTTGGACTGGTTGTTTCTGTTGCTTCCTTTTGTTACCTGCAATATCAACCTATCCTCGAGCGTTTACTGTAGCCTTCAGACCATCCATAGCCAGACACATCGATACACCAAACCCTGGGACCTCCCAGCCCGAAAGCAAGAAACCAGTGGTCAGCTTGTTTCATGGCATGTACTGACATTGGAAGGTGCAGTCCTGTGTTCCAAGAATCCAAAAGCTACACTAGCACAGACTGAAAGCAAGACATGATGAACCGTCGAACCCTTGACATGGTTTGTAAACTTCCTGACCGTTTATAAACTTCTGTTGTTACTCAACATGACATTGTGCACGCACCACTTGTCACCCGCAAAACCTGTGCAACAACAGCACACTTCTTGCATGTATATGCTCACACCGCCTGTCTGTAAAATCGGAGGATTTTGTACAGTTTGTAGAAAGGTAGGCCCGTCAAGTACGACAAGGCCACGCAAGCAAACACGCACGAATTTAGACGGCGTTGCAGAGACGTTGCTTGCATACTCAACGTGCCCGGCTTATTCTGCTCTATTCCCCCACGTCTAAATCAGCTGGCAGCACCCGTTGAACGTAAGGCCATCTTTGGACCTTGGCTATGCATGTATGCTTCTGCGAGCCACGGGCAGTATTCTTTGGTAGCCCAGGCCACCGCGGGAAAACTGGTTGGGCCCTTTGTTTAAACTAGGCAGCTGAATGTTTTGGACCCTGTCAAGACTGTCCTGGCTTACCTGGAACTGGGATAGACTTCCAAATTGGCGTCTTGTGAAACACCCTTCTTCGTCCATAAGCTTCATCCAAATGCCGTGTCCTTGGGTTTTTTGCAACTTGAATTGAATCCAACCCAGCTTCACGGGGAAAGGGGGCGCCACCCTCTGAGAGCATCCCGGGTGCAATGACTCACTTGAAGAGGGGCATGGCCCAACGAAGCCCTGATAGCTGACAAAGGGTGTTCCTGTCAAAAGAAGTTCCTACCCGCACAAACATGGGGGAATTAAGGCCTACGAGGAGTTGGCGACGTCCTGAAAGTAAACGCACTGCGAACAAAAACAACTCAAAGTGGGTGCTTCAAGGAACCCTTTGGGATTCCTTCTGGTCCCTAGAGCAAAGACAAATCTCTACGAATGTTGCCGCTCCTGACAAGTCTA